GTAAATATATCATTTATCACAAAAAATAACATATCTACATTGACGCAGGGAAAGTGCCTTGTGCCCCGTAAAGATACAGATATATGTACTTCGTTAATTAAACATCCTCTACTGATACTGATAGATTAATCTCATTAAATGAGCAAAGTGACCATTTCACTGTATATTGAGAGTGCAGTTGGACCACATACTGTTTTCTTTTCCACGGAATCTCTGTAAGATTACCATCATTTCCATCACCATTATAGCTAACACCATTATCATCAACATCTCCTATTTTTATATGGACACTGCCGTCACACACGCACCCACATTCAAACATATAAATACACCAATCATGTCTGGGCTGTAAAAAGAAACACGACAGGAACTGAGGTGAGAGGGAATGAGAGATGTGGCTTTCAAGTGAAAGAATGAAAAAGTGTGTGTGTGTGTGAGAGAGTGTAACAGACAGACAGACAGACAGAGAGCAAGAGAGACACAGAGAGTAATTCAGTGAAGTGACTCTGCATTGACCTTTAGTAACTCCCCAGAGCAATGTCAATTTCAATTTCACCCTTCTCCGTGGAAAGGTGACATGTCTGGTGTCACAGCTAGGTGTTCGATATCAAAAATGTCTTCAGTATTGTAGACTGAAGTTTTGAAGAAGAGATGGGAAGAGTAGAGAAGAGAAGATGGAGTATTAACCACTTCCACATACTTCACAATGGCAAATCCTCAAATCTTCATCACTTCAAGTAAGCTGAGGTCAATGTGTGAGGCGGTGAGGAGAGAAGAGAGATAAGGTATAAGAGCATGTAGCAATAGAAAAAAGAGAGGGGGGAAGCAAGAACATCGATAAGGGGTTAGGCATGAGGAATCAGGAGGAGGGGAGGAGGAAAACTATGTGTAAGAGTGTGCTTCAAATACATATCTTCAAATGAAATGATGAAGTCAAAGCTACAGTAGGTTTTTACAAAGGCAGTATTTAAAAAATTACCTCTGGATATTTCTGGTACACCTCACTGTTTTACTATTGCTATTATGTAACAATATCGCTGTCATAAGCATAATCAGCCTATCAGTATAATGGATATATTAATAAACTCGAAAACAGCTGGTTTTAGTAAAGGTATGTGGGGAGCTTTGCAAACAAAACTATTTGGGTGGAAGCACAAGCCATTTTTGATAAAAATTACTATATACAGTTGTCATAGCAACCTGTCAGAAAAATAGGAGCATACCCTCCTTTAATGTGAAACTTAAACTGATATATTGTATATATATTATAACTGTTATAGTAGATGAAAGGAGCAGTATTATGATTGTGTCAAAACAATAGTTATTGAAATAAATGGTGCTGGGAACTTGGTAACTAAGCGGCTGGCAGGCTAACTGTTAACATGCTAGCAGCTGCTGGTTAACATGCTGGTATTGGCCAAATCTTGCTACTTGCCTGTTAGCAGGCTATCTCGCTGATTAACCATTTTTATTCAAGACTGTTCAGAATTATAGTATTTGTACCGTTGATGACTGAATGACAACCATACAGCATCTTTTTTTGTTGAGCAGTTTTTACTAATATTACTTATATAAGAGTTATATAGAATTGCTTGGTGTGACAGATCTTATATGTATCTTCTTGAATTTAGGTTCCTCTGGATTTCTTTTCCTTTTAATGTCAGACTGTTTGCAATTAGTCAGCGTATAAGTTTGTGTATCAAAGTTTACCGAAGTTGAACTCTACATGAAAGCCCTGCATTGATTTACTTTGCTTACACAAGCAAATCCACTGATCGGAGGGATTCCAATCTGTTTGCCTGTCTTGGTCAGCACACAGATGTTTCCAAATCGTGAGGAAAGAAGATGGAGGTAACTGGGGAGGAGAGATTGGGATCATAGTGGGACAGCCACACTGCCTGGCTGTTTGTGTGAGCTTGTAAAAACACCAGGAAAATCAGGAATGTCAGCAGCTTTGAGTATAAGTCTATTACAGATGGCTACCACTGGCTTATGAAATTGTACATATCTAAGTGTGCATGGCTGTGTTTGTGCTTCAACATAGTCCATGTTGAAGTGAAGTAGACATAAGAGTCATCTCCCTCCTGCCAACCATTCTGTGCTGTTGGGTCCCGCTCTGAGAAATAATTGATTCTAATGCTTTTCCACTAGAGTGCACCCATCTGCTGGCTATGGGGGACAGTAAAATCCTCTATCAGTTACAATTATCACACAGTTACCGAGGAGTGCACCGCATGTGTGTGCCCCCCCCCCCCAAGTGGTGCAGGGGCATGTGCAAATTGCTGTGCGTGCGTGTGTATGTGTATGTGACGAAGGGGGAGAGCTAGCGAGAAAGAGAGATGCTCAAAGTGTATTGCTGAGTAAGCATGAGTTGAATCCCTCCACCCCATCCTCTGGGACAGCGAATCCATGACAAATCATCCCGAGGGAATCAACACTAAGTCAGTGAGTCTGTGTGTGGGTGTATGTGTGTGTTTTAAATTTGGAGCTTTGTGTAATATGTCACATACTGTAAGTATGTGTGTGTGTGTGTGTAATTTTGTGTAGCTCCCTCTCACGGACCCTAACGTGTTTTCACAAATTCAAACCCCACAATGAATCATCCTCCCATTCTGGAGAAGTGGGTATGGACTGCACCAAATGACCACTGGGGGACAGCAGTAAATCTGGCAATAGAGAAACTGGATAGCTACTGATGAAAATTCAAACCATCCTACACAACCTTAATTTTGTGTCCTTTGAAAACCACATTGAAAAGTGTCATGTGTAAAAGTAATATTTGAGACAGAAAACAGGCCTGCTTTCAGTATTCACACCCATCCCTGATGACTCCTGAAGCCCTGAAGCCTTGTAGACACACACAGCACACACACACGCACGCACGCACGCACGCACGCACGCACGCACGCATGCACGCACGCACGCACGCATGCACAAGGAAACCTTTGGAGAGCAGGAGAAGGGGCCCTCTGACAAGACGCCCCTCTCCTGATACAAGCAAACTCCCTCTCATGCCCCTGACTCCATTTCCCTTTCATCATCTTTTTCTCCCAGCATACCCAATCCTTTCTTCACTCTGACAACCCTTTGCTTCTATGACCACTCTTGTTTCTCATTTTTAATTTAATTCCTTTTCATGGACTTTTGTTTTCTCCCCTCTGCATCTTGCTCGTTGACTTTCCACTACATCCCTGCTGCATGTCCTCTGTGAGAGTTTATGTAACATTTGTATTTTATTTATGTCAGCGTGTGTGTGTGTGTGTATGTTGTGTTAAAGCTGGCCGTGATGGCGACTGTCTGAGACCTTACCTGTTTGCAGCAGAGGAGATAAAGTGGGGCCGTGTTTCCCGGCAATGTTGCAGATTTATCTCTCTGCTTATGGCTCTGATTTTACTGCCCATGCACTAGCCTCCTCTGGATCCCATCTCTTTCTCTCTCTATCTCCCACTTGCCATAAGGGACCGGCCTCGCTCTCTGCACGTTCTGGCTACTATAAATCTGCCACGTTGCTCCATAAAGCTGCTTAGGGCATGACTCAACAAATATTAAGAAAGAGGAGAATAAATAAATAAAGCTAAATAAAAGAGAAACTCTGGTCTGGAGGGAGAGACAACTTTTCTGCACACAAAATTGGGCCTGGCTGTAAAATATTTACCTCTGTGTCTCTGTGCTTTAGACACTCTGCAGGGAGCCAGTGGGGGGTCACTGCACGACATCACACATACTTTCACTTTCTCTCCTCTCTGCTTCACTTATGACTATCTTTTTGTCATGGCAATGCCAAACCCTTGTGTACCATACCATTAGAGAGGAATGCCACTGCTTGTCAAGATCACTTGTCGTGGGGAGCACTAATAAGCCAGTTTTATAATGTCTTGGCTCTGAGAGGAGTTTTGTTAAATCTGAAATAATAACCTTAGTGATGTCTTGGGTTACGCTTAGAGATAAACTGCATTACAAACTGGGGACATTTACCAGAAATGATGGGTTTAATAAAGAGACAACATTGAATTGCATTATGGGAAATGTAGACTTTTGGGACTTTGAGTGGGACCAAAAGTCAACATCTGCTGCATCAAATCTTTCTTAAAACTGTCTCTCACAACAGTCCCAATTTTATGTAAGTACAATAGTGAGTGCACTAATCTTTTAACACACACTCCACAAAACATGAAAACACAAAGCGAAGCAGAAAATACTGACATCGGTTTTAAGTAATTGCGAGAAGGTTTAAAGGTTAAAATCCCAGTGAAATCAAGATTGAGACAAACAAAAACAGCTGAAGCGTTGTGCAACCTGTTCATGCACGGGTGTAAGTATGCTGACATGTGAGGCTGTGCTTGTCAGTTCATCAACAGCAGCAATTCGTCACTCTTGATCAGCCAACTGTGGAGGCATTTAAATGAACTACCTGGATTCCAACAGCATCAGATAGACAAAAGACAAAAGGTAACCTCTCACTGAATCATTGCACCTTCTTTGTCTTGTCCGATCGGCTTCACCATGACAGACATGTAAGCCATTCATGGAGCGACAAGCACCATGTGGACAGCCGACTGTGCCCAGAATTCAAGCAATATGCTGTCACAGAAAAAAAACACCCAACCACAACCACACGCATATATTCACTCACACTCGCATGCACACATGGTAGGCCCATCATGACCCCACGTCAAAGAAGACAAACAGCGACGAGTGAAAGCAGCCGCCTTTCCATTTGGCGAGCCAGCGTATGGAACCCTGGCACCATATGGGCTCTTCATTGTTGACAAAACAGCCTTAGGGACATTAGCACCCACCATTTGCAAATATGGAAAACACTTTTACAAGAGTTTTTTTTCTTCTGCTGTTTCTCTAGCAAATAAAAGTGCCATCATCAATCTGTGTTCGGCGCCTGAAGGTGTGTTAGAGTGGATTTGTAAAGTCATCTATTTCCTGTCATTTGGAAATGACACAGATAGTACTGACTGCAGCTGGAGGAAATCCCATGATGCTCTTACCTAGCTGCAGCTCCATGTTGCTAATCTTGTTTTCCGAGGGAAACAGGATCTTTGGCGGTTTGTCGGTCAAAGGTGCTGAAATGGAGAAAGGACACAATTTAAATACAGTGTGATTCAAGACAAACCAACAATACAGGCAAACTAGTGAGGACTTTTGATTGAGCTATTTTAAGGTTTGTTCCTGAAGGCCTTCTTGCACTTGGTCCAAAATATTATTTTCCATCCTCCTCTGCCTTACAGAGATCTCCAATCTTTTACCACCTTTTCAAAATTAAAATTTACTCAACCTCTTTCTGTCTGACCTAATTCCTATCACCTTTCCAACTTGCTCTGTGTCTTTGCAGACACACAGCTCTCTGGTGTCTATAGACCTTGGGTTCCATTCATCTGACCTACTTCTAATCATAAATTAATCACTGCTTTGCCAAGAACAAGCCACCATTTAATCTGAGTGTTAGGTATTTGAAGAGCCATCATGGAGTGTGTATGTCTGAGTGAGAGGGAGCAGCTGATGCTCTAATGATGCTAATCATCCATACGGCGAATGTCAGACCTGCTGCTGAAGTCCTTCCTCTGGGGAATGCCAAAACATGCACCAGTTTTATTGCTGTTGAAAGCGTTTGTGTGTTCCACAAAAAAGACTGTGCTCTTTAGAGTTGAGGGGTTCAGAGAACAGAAAGAGGATCTTGTAAGTACATGACTTAACTAAACGTGACATGAGGGGAGAGAAATGGAAGGGCTGTGTCTACATGTTCATTGTCTTGATCACAAGGTACTTCCACTCAGAGAGACATAAACAACCATTGCATTTATATTCAACGTTGGTAGTTGCCCTGTAACAGCCACAGTTTGACACCACTGGCCACTGAGCTGCTGCAGTCATTGTTCCAAAGCACTTCAACAGAGTGCTGTAAGGTTTTCATATAGCACACCAAGCTTTGTTGTATCCCGTGGCTGCTTAAGTTCAGACCAAGCTCTTGATCCAGACCAAACTGCAACTTCATCTGGACCAGATCATGTGTGTGTATTTGAGTGTTGGCGGTCTCTGTGCGTGCATTCAATCTGGACCAGCAAGCACCAAGAGTGCGATGTAATTACCATGACAATGAGTTGTGACCATAAGTCAGTAACTCAAGAATGTTTTTGCCAATGCTAGCTAGCAAGATTTGTCAAAGCTTTCAATGATGAACTCTAACACCAAGCCATGTACACATTCTTTCTCTGTTCATTTTAACACTTTGTTTGAGTTTGGCATTTACAGTGAGCCATTCAAACCTATGACACCATTTTCTGTTGCTGTGGCATAACGTCATGAGGAAACATTAGGACCAATGTTAAGCTCATGATAACCCACATTTGGCTTCTGGCATTACATGGTATTACATGTTTGATATACCTGCAGACTTTTGAATGTCTTCTTCTCTATTAAAAGGAGTGCAGAACTCTGTGTATGTATTTATTTATGGTCGGAACTCTATGGTGGCCCGTAGGTTTCAGGTCTAATACAAAAGCCACAACATGAACACAAAAGACACAACACGATTACAAACGCCACAACACAAATACAAACGCCACAACACAATTACAAAAGCCACAACACGAACACAAAAGCCACAAAACAAATTAAAAAACCACAACGGAAATACAAACGCCACAACACGATTATAAAAGCCACAAGGGAAATACAAAAGGCCACAACAGAAGTGAACCACAACGGAAGTTGACAACGGAAGTTGACAACGAAAGAGACGCTTATAGTAGTGCGTCTTAATAGTGGATTACTCTCCACAGAACACAGCTACACAGTAGTACAGTGGCAGTGTAGCTGTATTCTGGAGGTCTGGGTTCAAATTGTAGAAAGAACATTCTTCTTTAGGCATAATAGTGTCTGCCAAATTAGTAAATGTAGGCCTACGTGGAAGAAGAACTTTTTACCTGTTTGATAAATAAGTAATACTTTGTTCTGGTCAAATAATATACAGCGGGATATTTGTGTGAATTAAACAGCTGTCTGTGCAGATTAGCATCAAAAATAGACTCTATTTGCTAAACAAAAAGCAAGGAGTCTTAGGTTACCACAGAGATGACTTTATACTTAAACAAAGGGGTGCGTAGGGTGCTGCAGCACCCCCTATTCATAGTTTTCACGTGATGTCACATTATATATATCTTTCTTTTTCTTAAGTTGAGAGGTGATCCAAATAAATGTAACTGCTTTTGCGACGTCTCTAAGGGGGAGTCGCGGCGTGAGCCGCTGTGTTGGTCTCCAGATAGCCTACCGCGAATGTCATGTGACTGAAAACTATGAATTGACAGGGAGGAACACTTCTAACTATTGTAACAATATGACAACATAAAATACACCAGGTTAGTGCTGAATGCAAAAGATGCTCTTTATGTTATACAGCCTAATAATTTGACGTCAGCAGCTGTTTGCACTGTTTTGTCACGATTAAATGAGCTACATTGGTGTGATGCGCGAATTGGCTCTGAAAATATCTGAATAATCATGTACGCACAAATCATCCACCCACACTCAAACTAATTATTTTCTCAGATTTATCCCACCTCTACCTGTCCTTTTAACTTTCCAGGTGATTTCTTTATTGTGTTGATGTTGATGTTGAGTGTTTTTGTTTAACGGTTTACTTTCATGATTAGAAAGGTGTCTGTCAGTCATTTTAAACTTTTCCATTGGCGCTGTAATGTCACAGCAAATAGGCTATCCTGGGACATGAAGCTAATCTGCACAGACAGCTGTTTAATTCACACAAATATTCCGCTGTATATTATTTGACCAGAACAAAGTATTACTTATTTATCAAACGGGTAAGAAGTTCTTCTTCCACGTAGGCCTACATTTACTAATTTGGCAGACACTATTATGCGGAAAAAAAGTCACCTGAAGAAGAATGTTCTTTCTACAATTTGAACCCAGACCTCCTGAATGCAGGACAGCTACACTGCGCTGTACTACTATGTAGCTGCATTCCACAGAGAGTAATCCACTCTTACTAAGCGTCTCTTTCGTTGTCAACTTCCGTTGTGGTTCACTTCCGTTGTGGCTTTTTGTATTTGTGTTGTGGCGTTTGTATTTGTGTTGTGGCGTTTTTATTTCCGTTGTGGTTTTTGAATTTGTTTTGTGGCTTTTGTGTTCGTGTTGTGGCTTTTGTATTTGTGTTGTGGCTTTTTTGTTCATGTTGTGGCTTTTGGAATTGTGTTGTGGCATTTGTATTGATGTTGTGGCTTTTGTATTAGACCTGAAACCTACGGGCCACTGTAGAACTCGATACATTATATTTTTACAGTAGGTTAGATAAGAAGGGTATGACCTTTGACCATGCGCACAGCAGCAGAAAACACAGAGAGACAGACAAAACAAGCTTACATACCTCATATAATCATATGCACTAAGGATGCAAACACTTATTCTGCACTTCCCAAACCAGCTATGACGACAGAAACCCCTTTATTGAATAAAACAGAAGCAACTCCCAACAGCAGACCATTCAGGCACATCTAATTATTTTGTGGTGAATTTGCAAAGGTGGCTTATTCAGGACAGTTTGTAGCCTGGTGTGTTCATTAAGATGTTTTCTTAGAGTGTCCTCACAAGCCTGTAGTCTTGTTATAAGGGTGCTGTAACAAGCTGTTTGAAAGCCCTACTCTGTTTTGGTGTCTGCATTTGGGAGCCATGCAATGTTGCTCACTCAGCACAGTGATGTGCAGTTAAGTGTGTGGTGTTGTTTGAAGTAAAGTGCATGGTCTTGTAAAGTTCTTGGTTTAAGGCTGCGGTATAACATATTTAACATATTTTAATTACTCAAGAAGTGTTCATGTGAGGAGATGTCGACCAAAATGTTCATTATGTGTTGATATGAACAGAGCTTTGCTCAGATGTAGCACCTGCTGGTATGTAAATACTGACAGAGAAGTACAGTGACATCTATGAGAGGGGCGGTCACAGGCTTTTAGGCACAACTGTTTGCACTGTTAATAGGCAATCACACAACACAAATTACACTGGATACTGATACAATTTTAATTACATATCAAACTGCAATACATAATTACACAATGGGTGATCCTATAGCTAATTATGCACTGGGCAAACAAATGAGGACAAGCTGTGTATGGGAGAGAGACAGGGAAGCAGATGTGGTAAGGGGAACACAGATAGGAGGCAGACATCAGCAAAAGGAAAGTAGAGCTGGTGAAATGAAGAGAACAGGAAAATGTATATGGCTAAAGTGAACCAGTCAAGAAACATGCTCCCCCTCATTTTGGCATGCTACACTTGCTTCTGAAAATCTCATTATCTTAATTACCACTCCTTTATGGGAAATACATCAATTATCATAGTTCGGGGGGCACCATTTAAAATGTGGAGGATTGGGAGCACCACCTAATAAAGGAAAGAGTCTCTGATTGACATTACCAGGCAAAGTCTGTAAATAAGCAACAGTAGACATAAACAGGTAATTAAACATGCAAATATATCTGGTGATATTAATGAAAGGTTGTGAGAGCATCATGAGAAAAGAAATAGATGTTTTATGTCTCTTATTTCTAAAAAGACTGTTGGTGATTATATGCTTTAAATGCAAGGTTAGAATTAGGTTTTATTTCCACCTATGTATGTCTCTCTGCTCAAAAGACATGTAAATCAATTCTTGGCCGGAGGATCATTTGAAAAGATATTGGTAGGATTTGTGTTGTGACACTTTTATGCTGTATTCATGTGATGGTTGAAAGTTCTAATTGCAAGTCTATACCACTTCCAGGTTGGGCGCTAAACATTATTCAGTGCCTGCATATTTGGAAAATGGTAAATGAACTGTACTTTATTTTTATTGCTTTTCTAGCTTTACGGGCAAACTGCTTTATAATTTGACCGTCATTCACATGGAGATGGACATGCAAGGCGCTGGTGTTCAGTATCTTGATAAAGGACACTTTAAATGTATTTGTATAGTGCCTTCTAGTCTAGTAGTCTTTGCAACCACCCAAAAGGCTTTTACACTACATCACATTCACCCATTCACACGCATTCAGACACTAATGGCAGAAAGGTT